CGTCCGCATGTACGTGCAGGTTTGGGAGTCCGTTGATGAATTTAGAATAGGGCTCTGGGAGCGGTAGATCTGGAGATATTCAGCCCAAAAGTTGGTCCCCGGCATTGATTAACTCAGGCCAGGGCTTCTAGCCCTTGATCAGTGAGGTTTAGAGATTTCCCGGTTGTTACATTGTCTTCTATTGAATTCTTCCCTTGGTTGATCTGCAGCTTCCAGGTGTTAATTCCTGTGTGCTACCTTGTTACACATTCAATCACTGATTCACTCTCTCTTTCAGGGGCCAGCCTGATACAGAGAAGGACAGTTTGATTCCTGCCCTTGTTAACATTGTTACAATGTATAACTTACTAAAACACATTTAGTTGAAAGTTGAAAGATGAGGAGTATAAAATATAAGCTACAAATGCCATGGCACACAAATAGATAAAAATACCAAACTACAAGGGGAGAAACAAAATGCACACATACAAATTTTAAAACACAATTCCTTATCTTAAAGTGAAAGAAAGAGGAAGGAAGAAAGGTAGAAAAAGAGAAACATATCCAAAGAAGGGAGAGCAAATGCAGGCAAGAGGAAAAGGGGGCTTTCTGCTACAAGACTAATGATTTATTTGGCTGCCTAGGCTTACCTGCCAAGTCCTTTGATGCCTGCAGACCCCCTTGATAGACATTGCAGCCGAAGCTTCTCAATTGGGTTTGTGGCTTTGACCAGGTCTTTTTTGGCTTGGATTGCCATCTCTCGGTCATGTCTTGCTGTACCGGGCATCTGGTACAAGAATTCTCATTTAGTGCATATTTATAATGAAGATAAAGACTTAGTATGACTGGCACTGATTGCAGAATACACTCTCAAAAGCACCTGCTAATGAATAGTTAACCCTGGCTTACCTACTTTGGCAGCAGGATATTCACTCGTCAGAGCTTTCTGCTCTGCTAAGATGTAGTGTATGGCCCTAAGCCTGCCAAATACTTAAGTGCATACTTAGCTGCGTACACGGGGGCCCTGATTCAGGAAACTATCCCTATGCAGTTTGACATTCACATATGTGCTTAACTACCATTGAAGATACGGGCACCTGCTTATGTTATCAATAAGGATGGACTTAAGTACATACCTAGATGCTTTCCTAAAGAGGGGCCTGCAAGGGGTGTACAGTATAAAGTTCACTCCACGCACAACAGGGTTAAAGAGCTGCTTCTATGGCTCCACCCTAAAACCCAGTTCTGTGAAGGTGGGCAGGACTATGAGCTATTCTTTTAAGGAATTTGCTGGTCAATGAGTCAGGCTGCAAGTTGTCCCAGGCTCCATGAGGAGGAGGGATGGCAGCTCAGTTGTTCTGTCTCACTTTCTTTTTATTTTGTTTCCTCGGATCCCTAGGAGGGACAAATTATGCAGGGCCTAACTTGGCAGGCGGGGCCTCCTCCTCTCATGCTGGAGACAACAGCTTTGACCTGGAGGACAACTAGAGTAAGTGGATGGGCTTGTTGCACCTGAAGGGGGGCTTGTAAAGTTATTCCACTCGGGCCAGGACCCTGACTCATATGTGAATAGTAAAAGAAATGCAAGTATTTGACATGTGTAGTATGCATACTGAAGAGCAGTGTTGGAAAGGCTGATGAATGCAACTTGGCCATCTAGAAGTCTGACACAGCTGGCTATTAGACTGTCATTTTACTGTTCTGGTTACTAAGGCAATGAAAAGTGGCACCTTTGGCAGCCCAGCTCATCAGCTTGAATCTCCATATGGAAAGGACAACAAAGTACTGCAGTTACTAGTCTCTCATAGCTGTTCTTTTTTCATTTAGGGATTTTTGTATTTTGCTACCAATTTTCCACGGCAGTGGATGTCTCCTACAGGTACAAAGGTTGGCATACTGAGGCCTTCTCTTGGTGACTCAGGCTAAGTATAGACAGTCAAAAAGTCCAAGACTGAATCCATTCAATGTTCGTAGGTTAGTCTAAGCTTCATGGATTGAACCCATAAGCAAGTAAACAGAAGTTCAATAAATCGATTTAACTTAAATTAGTTAAGTCTGATACTACATCCATCCAGGTTTATTTTAAACTGGTTTTGGTCATTTTGAAAGTGGTTTAGGTGCACTAAACTTCTGTTGTGTTCCAGATTTAAACCACTGTCCTATTGCTTATATCAGTTTAGGTATAATTTCTGTCCTTAGCTTTAGTACCAATTTAAAATAAACAGCGAACTAAATACTACAGATGTTCATAGCATCTTTCATTGCAGCATGTCAAGCTCTCTGTAAATACTCAGTTAAATTTCACAACCACCCTGTGGGGTACATGTGTGTTAGAGGGTTAGCAATCCCATAGTGATCCATTACCATCCTACAGGTCCTTTGCAGACCTCCTCACCATTTTCTAAACTATGTTAACTGATTTACATCACACAGTTTGAATCAAATTTCAATTTGAATTAAGTTTTAATAAATTATCATTGACCATCAGCCTCTTAACAGACCTGATTTGCACATTCTGTGTGTCGGCTTATGCACTTAGCGCTTGCAGTTGGAAATAATTAGGAAATAATAATCAACCTATTTAAGCACTACTACATTGTTGCAAATCTACTGACAGTTATCTAAAGTGCTGTTCCAGAACTGTAATGGGTGCTACTGACCTGAGACTTAGTCATGGTGAGGTATTGTTGGCACATTTGACTTTGTAAAGGTGTTACTTTATGCCTGATAACCTCTGTTGTGCTGCAAAAAACCCATTTGAGTTTGATATTTGCAATATTTAGCTGCAGAGTTCCTAAGGACTGTTTTTCCTAAAAGCAACACCCTATATACATGTTAATTAATACAGTTTAAAATGCCTAATTCGAACTGCCCTCATTCAATAAGGTTTAGTTCATTTGGACTGGAGCCAATTTTATTTCGGATTACAAACATCCACGTGTATATACTAATGGCTGTAGTCCAAGTTTAGCCTAGAAAAATATAACATTTATAAATGGCCCTAGTGTCCACAGCCTTTCACAGAAAGTAGCAGTAGAGCAGCCCATGTGGCCTCACATTTCCTACTGTGTGGATAGATCAGGGGTTGTCAGGTGGGGGTACGTGTACCCCTAGGGGTACTTAGAAAGGTCATAGGGGGTATGCATGGGTGGGAGTGTGGGTGGGCAGGGGATGGGGCGCACCCCAGGGTGTGGTGGCAGCGTCTCCCCTGGCACATTCCCACACTTTGTCTCTTAGCTGGGGTAGGGAGAGGGGGAGGGGCATGCCAGGCACCACCAGCTCCACACTGCACATACCATCACCTCCCCACCCCCACCGCCGCTCACTGTCCTGATTGGGTGCTGAGCTGCCACCCTCAGCCAATAGCCAAAGGCAAGGAGGTGCTGCGGCCAATCCCTTCCCACAGAGCCACGAGGGTCTGAATGGCAGGAAAGGAAGTGTGTTCTGTGCCTGCCCCCAGGAGCATGCGATTAGCTGGGCGTGAGGCTTAGCAGCAGCCCATGGAGCCACAAGTGCAACCGGCCATGGTAAAGTAGTGTGGTGCACAGCCAAGGTGGGGCAGCAGTGGCAGTGGGTGGTGGAGGGGGTGGCGGCTGCCACATGTGAGTCCCCCCATTTGTCTCCCCCATCCCAGCACTGCTGTTATGTGCACCCCTGTGAGGGCACGGGGGGCATGTGCCCCCAGATCTGTGAGAGGGGCAGGGCAGGCTGACACTGCAGGCAGGGACCAGGGCTGCACCAGGGTCTTCCCAGTGGAGGGGTTGGGCTGTGCTACACTTGGGGTGAGCAGCAGCAGTACTGGGATGGGAGTTGGGGGGGCTATAGTGAATTCTGGAGTGGCTGCAGCCCCTCCCATAGCCCTCCTCCCAGCACTGCCGCTGCCTGTCCTAAGTACAACCCAGCCCAGCCTAGCCTGCCCTGCCGGGAAGAGCCTGGCACTGCCCCGGTCCCAGCCTGCCCTGTGTGCAGATCCAGGGGTACGCACCCCCCATGCCCTCCCGGGGTGCATGCAGCAGTAGGAGCCACCCCCCTGCGCTCCCCAGATAAGCTGCTCATGGCTGCATACCATGCTCCACCTGGCAGTGCAGCACTTGTCCCTTCCACTGCCCCACTCCCTCCCTCACTGCAGGGGCCTATAGGAGCAGGGCTATGGAGGGGGCTGCAGCCACTTCAGAATTCGACATAGCCCCCGCAACCCACTCTCCCAGCTCCACCACTGCCCCCCCAAGCACATCCCAGCCCCTGCCGGAAAGAGCCCGGTACCTCCCCAACAAAAACATACAGATAGATCCAGGGACACATGCCCTCCCAGGGTGCACACAGTGACAGGAGCCTCTCCCACCCCACCATGCAGCTCAGTTCTATGCCCCACCCCAGCTGGGCAGCCCCTGCCCCTGCCCCAGTACCATTCCCTCTCCCACCATTGGGGCAGCCTGTCCCACCCCGCATGCACATGCCCTCCTGGGGTGCATGCAGTGGCGGGAGCTTCCCCCCCACACCTCCCACGCTTCCCTGGATGAGCCGCTTATGGCTTTGTCCCCCAACCCACCCCAGCTGTGCAGTGCCTACCCCAGCCCCACTTCCTCTCTCACCGCGGGGGCACCAATCTGCCCCCCCTTAAAAACAGGAAAAATGATAAGTGGGTACGTGAGCTGAAACTTTGAGTAGGAAGGGGTACAGTTATTCAAAAAGGTTGAGAACCCCTGGGATAGACAGACGATTATGCTGTTTAAATGGGAAACTGGGAGGGTGGGGGGAGGACTATGTCTCATGAACATGCTTCAACAGACTAGTTGTAATTGTTTTGTCTGTCTGATCCTTTCCTGCAACAAGTGAAACAAACCACAGTGATTTACAAATAGTAAATGAAACAAATAGTAATTTATTCAATAGACTGTGGGATCAATGAGACCTAGGAAATGATTTCAGGCAATTCAGGTGGACTGGGAGAATTCTTCCCCTTTATAGTGGCATAATTGCTTAATCAGTCCATGCCTCTAGTTCAGCAGTTCCCAAACTCTGACAGATTGCACACCACCAATTTAAAATGATACAATCTTCAGTACCACCAGCAACTTTTTCAATTCAACCTTAAGTACCACCAGCACATTTTTGTCATATAATTATAATAAATCTGTTAACGCATACCACTGATAGGTTGACTGCGTACCACCGGTGGTACCGGTACCACAGATTGGGAACCATTGCTCTAGTCCTTTCCCCTGTCCAGTACTAAGCAGAGCTGGTGCCTAGCTGCAGGACCTCCTTTGGTCATGCTGGCATTTTAGAGACAGGAGTAGAGTTACCATACATCTGGGTTTTCCTAGATGTGTCCTCTTTTTGGGTCCTCCCATCTCTGTCCAGGTGGTTTTTTAAGATATCAGCAAATGTCTGGGATTTTGCTCTGCCTCTGCTTTCCTGGCACTTGCCAGCTTGCCGGGGCTGGAGGCAGCAGGGAAAAGTGATTGGAGGCTGGGGCATCACATGGTCTGTGTGGGGGCCCTGGCAGCTGTAGGTAGGGTGTGTGTGTGTGTGTGTGTGCGCGTGCACATGCGTGCCTGCCTGCCTGCCTGCCTGTCAGTGCTGGGGCAGGGGAAGGGGGTAGAGAGGTTCTTTGGGGGCAGCAGAAAGCTGCATGGGCAGCAGTGCTGGGGAGCCAGGGGGCTGCAGGTCAGAGTGAGGGGTACTGGCAGGTCTAAGGGTGCAGGGGCTAAGGGTCAGAAGTGAGGGACTCCAGGTCTCAAGATTCATATGTTGCATCAACTGTGTGTGAAGATAGGTGATGAG